ACAGTAAATATTAAGATCAATAACTGAATAGTAAGCCTCAGGTTCAAATGGCTAAGAAGAATTCTAAAGCGTCAAAATCATAGTTTTAATTATTTTTTGATTACGCTGGGTTTTATTTTCAAGTCCTGTATTTTTCATTCACATTTAAAATAAAACTGAGAATTTTTTACTGACTGAATGATAAACTACAGTATGTATGGGAGTTGTGCTGGTGAGTTGCTATCACCATTATGCATGACCGTTTTTCTTGAACATTCAGTCATTTTAAAGTGTAATGGCCTGCAAAATTGTAATCCCAAGAGTCCATCTATTTGTGATTTGTTCACATCAGGAAAAAACAGCTTAATGAAAAATACAAAGTTTATATTGTAAAGAATATATCTTCATAGTCACTTTCAGGCCGAGGTATATAGTGATAGAAATATTTATGTTGAGAATATAAGGAACACTAAAATGGTAAAACAGATGAAAAAGTATGGACTTTAAAATGGTATCTTGGCTGCGCTATTAGACCTGCAATGTTCCAGACATGCTTTTACGTAATGTATGATTAATTCTGAACCCATTAAGTTCTGGCTTTTTAAAAGGATATCTTAGTTTGAGTTGGAAATTTCAGTTTGTGATTTCCAATGACCTTTCCATTACAAAATAAAACTCTGAAATAAGTAAAATTATTATAAAATAAAAACTATGATCAATTTCTAAAAAATAAGCATCCAGTTGAAGTGTAGAAATGGTGAAAAAAATCTTGCTCAGACATCATCTCAGGAATATACCATCAATGAAACAATGCTGTGAGCAATGCGTGCGTGAATTCTTACTGAGGAATCAACTCTCTCTCTCTCTCTCTCTCTCTCTCTCTACCATTACTTTTCACTAATGATAAGAGTCTGAATGGGTTTAATAGACAATATAATATGTACATATACAACATTTTGGTCGCCCCTGCTCAAATGACATGTTTGTATGTATGATAAATGCAGCAAATAAGTACATATTGTGCATAAAAATGACATATTTAAGTTTGTTCCCTGTAGAGGTTGTGTTATTTAAAATGAGTTCAATATCAGAAATCATTTAAGAGTATTTTAATATTATTATTATTATTATTATATATTATTTTATATTAAAATTACTTTGATAAGTTTTTTTTTTACTTTCTGTTGTTTTTCAACTTTTGTTTCATATTGTTTATTCAATACTTAATATACTTTTTAAGCATATTATCTATTTTATATATAGATGTACAAACTTGTTGGATTAAGTTTATTTGTACTGAAATTTGTTAAAACATTTATTTATTTATTTACCAACCAACCGATCAAGCAAGCAAATCAAATACTTGCTTTGGTTCAGTAAAGAGGACACTGACAAAGGATAGGAAAAGACACAAATAAAAGAGATAAAAAGAAAACAGGTCAGTGATTCCTCTGAAAAGAAGCTTTTTTTTGTTCGCAGGCCTCTTCCCACTGTTCCCTCTCTCTCTGCCCCCTAAAAGCACATTAACTAATCCATATAAATGACCCTTTCACTGTGAGCCATGCGCATCAGAGGCCGACACTATTCGGCAGACTGCAGGCCAATTTCACATTGAATTTCCAGCATGATTTGGACCAGGCATGAAGAATTGTAAATCTGGACCCGCTTTGCCGTCCCTTCCATACGACCTCTCTGCCACGCTAAGGAGGGGATGCGTAAATAGCCATATTTCATAATAATGCATCTCTGATGTAAACTCCAAATAAGCCTGTTTACGGCGGGGTGTCAATAAGACTGTGCTTGCGTGGAATGGATTGGATACAGAGGGGCCGCCTGTCAGCGCGTTGCTCTACAGAAAATGTAGGCGGCTAACATGTAGATGATGATGGACTGAGAGAGTGAGATTGATCAAAATAAGCCACAGGGCGAGAGAGAGAGAGCGAGAGAGAGAGAGAAGAGAGCGCACAAGCGGGGATAGAGGGAAGAGAAAGGGGGCATCATGAAATACAAATTCATGTCATGCTTTTATTGACGGCCACCTTTGACGCTGCAGAGAGCCAACCCTATTTCACACAGCCAAGCCGAGAGTGTTTGCATGCGTATGTGTCTGTGGGTGTATGTGTGTCCTCCGCTTGATGTTTCATAAATGTAAAGAGATTTTTTTATAAATTGTATAAGAGAAGTCAGAACAGGTCGGTAGATTCTCAGTGTTGATATTTCACCATAATATAAGCTCTTTTTTCTCCTTTGTCTTACAACAGGGTCAGTAGGGTCTTTCTGAAAATGTTCTTCAGAATCACCAGAAGCTGTTCTGATAAATGTTAGCAACATTTCTTAATTTGTAATGGTCCTCATTAGGACTGATACAGAACCTCAAATACTCAAAAAATGACAGAAAAACTGTGATGCATGTTTCTACAAAAACTCTTATTTAAAATGGCTTGATATAGTACCAAAAAGCATGCCACTGCTGTTACAAGTCACAGAACCCTTCTTTGCCAGTGTATAGAACCTTTTTTGTTAAGAGTGTAGAATACGAACCACATACCATATTGTTTTTGTGAAAAGGAGATAAAGTTAATCATGTTTTTGAAGTTTAAAAAGCAACCAGGTTCTATGCCAAGAAAAAAGTTTTCCTGAACCTTCTTCAAGGGTTCTTAAGTAAAGGAAATGTTTGTATATAGAACCATTTGAATGCTTAAATAGTTCTTTGCATGGTTAAATAGTTTGCATGGTATATCGCTGTTGTCAGAACAAAACGTCTTATCTCCATTTTTGACGTTTCTCAGTTTTTGACATAATTTAAAAATACCTGTCACCCTTAACATTATATGTAAATTTCATGATGAATAGACGAAAAGAAGTGACCTAAAATGACTTGGAAAAAAGTCTGCTTCCACTGACTTACATTAATAGAACCTAGTTTTGGTACTATATAGAATCCTTTTCACTACAGTGTAGAACCATAAACTTTTTAGAAACATTTATTTTTATGAGCGTTGGTCAGGATGTAATGCAGAATCTGCAGTAATGCAAAGGCCAATTTCATGATAACAAACAAACGATACATCATGCAGCCCTAATCCCAATACGTTTACCTTATTAATGCTTCCTGAGCGTATACTCTATTGTTTACTTCTTCAGATCGCTAATAACCACTTTAATGCATCAGACAACTTTGTCACATTGTTATATTAGCAACGCCAGTCTGCAACCAGCTGTCATCCAACAACTTTGAAAGAGACCACAACCCTCATCTTCATCAGGAGGGATACATTTTACACATCAGTGGTTTTCACACAGTTTTCTCTGATTCAGTTCCTCAGTGAGTATGCTTGAGTCAGGTATGCTGCAGCAGCATAAACACACTTTATTAGAAACCCCTCTCTTCTAGCTCCAACCATTTCAGTGAGACTGTAGCCCATTTGCTGATACAGAGTTTGTGTCAGCCATCTTCTAGCTAGCCTGATGGTCAGTTTCTGAACATCTCTGGGTAGTGGACCACTCTCAACCTCAGTCACCGCTGTGCTGAGAATGGTCCACCACCCAAATAATATCAACAGCAGTCCTGTGGCCAGAAACTGATAATTATGGAGGTAGAGAAGGGTTGGTAAATTATGTAGCAATAGATGAGCTACAAGGCAGGAAGAAGTACAAGGTAGATGTTTCTAATAAAATGGCCAGTGAGTGGAAATACAAGGTAGGGGTTTCTGATAAAGTGGCCAGTGAGTGGAAGTACAAGGTAGGGGTTTCTAATGAACTGGCCAGTGAGTATAAATGCACATACAATAAATAATGCATGAAAGAGCTTCGACCGCAGCAAACAAAGTTGAACTGTGACAAGTTCAAGAATAGTTCACTTAAACGAAGTTCAGAGACACTCCAAAAACATAACCTTGCTTTTCACGCAACATTCAGTGTAGAAACTGTAAACCAGACAGACAGGTCGGCGTATACAAGAATTAATTGACAGAGTTCCTATTAGCACCTGAATCTTTGAAAGACTGTCGCTTTGACCAGCTTTAACAAGCTGAATATATGCAGGTGCATTAATTAGTCATTTCAGGCATTGTGTTGCAAAAAAAAAAAAAAAAGTTTGGTAACTTTCCAGCCGTTCTCATTATTTTTATCTTCCATCCACTCTACTCATTACGCCACAGCTTACAGATGTTAAAAAACAATATGTTTGGCCCATAACAACTCAGATTTACAATGTGTTAAAATGCCAAACATGGCAAAGTGTCCTTAACCAGATTAAAACAGCTTGAAACTCATGCCCTTCTTAAACACTGATGAAACTCTGTCTATAGTGCAGAAAAGTAAATAAAATATGTGGAAAAAATGCAGTTCCTTTCTCTGCTTACACTTAACAAGTGCAAAGCAAAGCAGTGTTGACCTTTTAGAAGATACAGTTACCACTGGTGATATATAAAACAACAATAACACTTAAGAGTTAACCTCCTCTTGAAATAATAACTATGTAACTAAATATGTACTAACTATGTAATTAATGATTTTTTAAATTAACAGTATAGAAAAACCACAACATTTGTGAGGGTTAACCTTCTGATGAAATAATAACTATGTAACTAATGATGTACTAAATATGTAATAAATAATATAGTCATTTAATTACACGTTTACACTACAGCAAAATTACAGTAATACCAATAGTCTACTAAAGGTTTACCTACTGATGAAAAGACACAATTAGCAATGTCAAACAATAAGAAATTTCTATAGCATTAGAGCATTCGTACTAGTGTCTCTTAAGATCAATTGAGGCTTTACATTTATATGCTCCCAACAGCCACAACTTACAGTCTGCAACAGCCTATACCTCCAAAAATACTTTTGTGGATGATAAGCAAGCACTGAACAAAACTCACTAACCAGCTGAAACCACAGGCCACAACACAGCTCTCCCAGACCATCAGCAACCAGCAAACTCCTCTCCATCAGCAGCACAAGAGAAGGAAAAGTAAGGCGAGGCAAAAGAGAAAGAGAAAAGTGTATCTTACCTTGAGGTTGTAGATGTGAAAGTCAATGGAACATGTTCTCCTCTGAGACCTACAAACAAAACAAGCAATTCAGCATGAACACAAGATATGTTTTTGTTTATGTTCACATTCATTTCAGCCAATCATAGCCAGTAAACATGATTCAATGTTTTAACTTTGAAATGTTAAACTGGCCTTAAAATCTTCTTTAAAATTATATAAACTAATAAATACATCGATTAACATTCTGTTAACTTACTCCAGAAGTTCAATAAACCCAAAACCTTATGGCAACTACATCATGCACTTTTTAAATTCGAAAGATCAAATCACTTTTAACATGCTATGAGCACAGTCTAGACCAGGGGTGTCAAACTCAACCACTACAAGGGCCATATTAAAAAATCTCAACAAATCCATGGGCCAACTGTTTTTCATTTTTACTTGACAATTTGCTATGACCCCACTGGCCATTGTCCATTCAAAATATACAATTATCTACACATAACTGATAAACTTCTTATAGCAAGATTTGACCAGGGGCACCCAAACTTTTGCAAATGACTGTATATGTCCTCAGATATCCACTATCTTGTTCAGATATCCACCATCACTATCACTATCCATGAGCTGCACTACAGTCCCCAGCATGCACTGCAACGTAATGTGCGTTCTGACCCCCTTTTAGGCTAGGCTAGTGGTTACACAAAAATAAAAGATGCCTAGTGTGTAGTTCAAGCAAACAGGCAGTTTGTCTGTTTGCTTGAACTACACACCAGGTCAAATCTTGCTATAAGGAGTTGGATGCAGGTGAAATGGTCAGACAACCAGTGTTTGTGCAGACTACACTGATAGTTATAGAGCACAGAGAGAGAGAGAGAGAGAGAGAGAGATTTGTGTTGTTCATGATTTCTGACACATCCTCTTTTGTTTTGTGGGGTTTCTGAGTGCTGCTGAGATGCTCCTTTCTCCCACCTCCCTTTCTTCATCCTTCTTTTCTCATCTCTCTCTCTCCCTTTCTCCTTCTGCTACCGACTGCTGTCAGAAATCATGAACAACACAGAGAAGACTGCCTGTTCCTTTTGAAGTGTGTGTGCTTGTGAACCAGAACAGCAGCTGTTAAATGAGGTGTTTGATTTCGCATGTCCGAAATCTAAAATCTACCCAAAACTATTGCATGCAGAACATTTGCACCCAGAGATCTGTAGCCACAACTGTACAGACTGACCTGCAGTTCAGTGCAAAATCAGAGACCACCCCTTATCCGTTTAATTTAAGGCAAAAACAGACATTGAGTACAAATTACTCATTTTTCAGTGACAGGAAATTTACAAATCAGCCTCTATAACTAATTATAACAGACCTTTCAGTATACAGTGTGTCTTGGTTTCAGTTTTTCTAACACATTTTTCAGTAATATACACTGACAAAGTTATATATACACACCTCGAAAGTTCAGTCTTAGAAGTTGGTTGCTATTTCTGCTTTGCATCCACCCAAGTAATCCTAAACACATTCAGTGATGCTGAGGTCTGGACTCTTGGGTGGTCAGCCCATTGTTCTGATCTTTTAATTGTTTTTTGAACTTGTTTTGGAAATTTCAGTTTTTCATTTCTTTTCCTTAGACTTTCCCCCTCTTTATGCAAGTGGATTATTATCTATGCTCCTCAGAAACATCTCCTGAAAAATAAATAACTTGCACTTAATGGTCGTTTAATAATTGAAGGGTTCCTTGCACTCTCTCTAGAGTCAATACTTTTGTAGTGCACACTCTCAGAAAAAAAAGGTACTAAACTATCTCTGGGATGGTACCCTCGATGAAACATCTTCGTTACCTTTAGTTAAGGAAAAACATGACTGTATAACATTCAGTTATGAGTTGCACTGACTAAATCCATACTGTTTTACTGCATTATGTTATGAAAAGGTATGACACAATGCATTAAAAGTTTGCACCTTGGTGTAGTGCCCTTTTAGTGTCACCTCAGATTGAATACTTTGTACTAAATGGAAATGACTAATTACTGTGTATGAACCTCATCTCATTGTTTCTAGTCTAGCAGTTATCTTATTCTGGCACACTAAAGATAGCTATAGCCAGACAGGATTCATAAAGTGACAGCTGCCATATAAACATATTTTCTTGAACGTGGTCATGTAATTTGGGTAAGCGGGGACAGAGAGGGACTCATTCCGCCTTTATACAGACAACAGAGGCTCAAGCCTTGTTCACACCAGTGGGAAATTCTGCTCATTAAACTAAACTGGTATGATTACAGTGAAGTGGATGATGCAAGTCTTAAAGCAACATCATGTAACAATTTTACATTAAAATAACAGATAAAATGACAGAGAAAATCATTCTGAAATCACACTGACTTATAATAATGAGAATGGTGTCTCTGTCATTGCCATTCTGGGCTGGAACTCCTGCTAAAGCGCTATGTAACTTTGGTGGAGCGGGCACGAGACCTCTCGCGAGAACTGCATAACACTTTGCAGCACCACATCACACACCAACAACTACAGCTCTTCAGCTAGCTATAAGAAGCAGCTTAGTATTCTCATTGATAGCATGGATATGATGGCAGAGGCTGCAAAGAGACTGAAGAAGACGTTGTTGGAGGAAGCGAGAAAGAGAAAAAGCGTGAGGGAGACCATGGAAGAGACAAAAGTAAATCTGACACTGGCTTCTACTCATTTGCAAGAGCTAAAAGAGATCAAATATGTAGGACAGTCTCACTGCTAACAGAAAAACAACTAATTCGACAGCAGAGTGTCCATTCTTGCCAATGTTATTTATGAAAGACTGTGATGTTTGGCTGTGACCTTATCTGTGTCATCCTTGTCTCATGAAGTTTAGCAGTTTTTCCGAATGCCAAAAATAATCTAATTTCAGTCCCACTTCAAGTTAGCATGCAAAGAAATTAAGTCATCTCAGCCAAATGTCAATCTCATGCCAAATAAGACTTGAAACCTCCTGTAATAAAATCCTGTAATATTACTTATCCTCATAAGCAGACATTATTTTTTCTCTTCTATTTTCCCCAATTTTCTCCCCAATTTGATTGTGTCTAATTCCACCCTCTAGATAGGACTCCCCCAATCACTCGATACCACCAGTGCTAGGAGGGCGAAGGAGGAGACCAGTGAAGCGCCACTGCATCTTTTCAGACTGCCGCTGATGCAACATCACTGGACAGCTGAACGCGCTCGGAGAAAAGCGCCAACCCCCAGATCTGTTACACTTAGGCTAACAGACGTCTGCGTTGACTAACATCATGTTAGGTGATGTGGGAAGAAGGGGTTACCATCCTACCCACCCGGAGAGCAGGGCCAATTGTGCTCTCTTGGACTCCTGATGGATGGCTGTAGCATTACCAGGGACTGAACTCGCGATTGCCACTCGGGTGTCCTGTTCTTTGATGCTCTTTGCAGGTGTTGTGCAGCATTCGGGCTCGCTGGCAGAATCAGACACCCCTTCACGTAAACGCATGTGTGGCAGGCATATGGATGCTACATATTACACTTGCGATTTTGGTTGTTCACACTTATAAACATAGAAATTGCGAGTGTAATCTGTAGCGTCAAATATGGCTGTGTGACACACTTGTGAAGGGGTGTCAGATTCTAGATGTGAGACAGAATGCACGCAAATCTGCGATCACGGCACAATCTGCATTTACCACAGTGGTGTTATAGTGAAATGCACTCTGGAACTCTAGGTAGAACCCAAAAGCAAAAACATCAATTCTCGCATAATGCTGCTTTAAGCAGACGGGAACTATACCACTTTTAGCCCCATTGCCAAGACTAGGCACGCACTTGGGATCTGAAATTTCAATCTACAGTGCACATTCATAGCTCTTCCCCTTTCTGGTATGGCAAGCCACAGTGTGCCACACTTCATTAGTCAGAAGGTTTAGTACACAATTGACCTACTGGCAAAAAAACTACATCTTTCTCTTTTTCCAGTGTGAACACATTAAAAGTGGCTAGGACGCTGCAGAAGTACTTGATCTGAGAATCAGAGCTCATGCTTTTTTGTAGTACTTTAGCTTGTTGATAGGGTTCTGAATAAGTTTTGTCTTGTGTTATCCCCATCTGCCTGATCTCTGCCCACTGCTGCAGATAAGCACTGCAATGTCTGGAAACACCCAAATAAACTCAAATGCACCTTTACATTTGTGTGCCTCAAGCTCAAAAAACAGGGTGCATACAAATGGTTAACAAAAGAGTGCAGCACATTTAAACATTTAAATAAATAAACAGGACATCATCATCTACAACTGTATGACATTTTAGACAATTTTAAAACAACACTTATTGCTTATAATGGCTACAGCAGATTACACAGCTGGCTGGGCTGCAATATTGTGATCATCAAACCACAAAAATGTGCAAATTTAGAATTAATGATAACATCTCTCTCTCGGGCTGGAAATTACATTGTCAAATCCCCCAAAGCGCAAAGGAAAGTGCAGGGGCCCGTGTGTCATACTTCGCCCTCCAACGAGATTGCGTCTGAACACTCAGAACATCAAGATTAAGAAGCTTAAGGTAATGGAATTTTGGGAATCAGACATCCGGTGAGAGTGTGCGCTGACTGCGCAAGCGGCGTGGGATTTTGGGATAAGCAAGTTTGTTCCTTCAAAAGTTTTACCTTTTTTTTGCACTGGATAAACACACCTCAGTTTTGAGAATTTTCATCCAGTTCTATATTTCTTTTATTTTTACTTCAATTTACAAAAAGTGAGATTTTTTTTATTATTTCACTCTCAGATGTCTTGTTTATCGTGAGTGATGAAAGCATGTTGTAAGTTTTTCTAGAATTTTTCTGCAATAAACTTCAAATCCACACCTATTGGATTACAATTGGATTGTATCCGTAAGGAGATATTTTATTATGATGTGGAGTTGAAATTAGGAGCTGGAAATGAAAACTTATTGTGCATAATATTCTGGATTTTAATATTTACGTTTGCCATGTTTCTATCCATTTTAAACACTGATGTATAGTGTAATTACTATGTAAATGTGTGTAATTAATTATGCTTACATAGTATGATA